TTATATGCTATAGCCAGATATTAGAAAATATATTTTTTCTTACCTGATGTTATATGTTGTTTCTGACCTAAAGTATCCCACTTTGATATGGTTCGAAAACATAGCTTATCTCTATAAGTGTCGTAATTTTTATACAGTCCTGTGTTACGTCCTGTGGACTCCACGATTTCTCTCTTTCAAAAACCATAAGAGGCATGTTTTTCTTCCCTTGGAAACTACAATCTTATCAATCAGCGGACATCGACTAGGCAACGCACGAGTCACTTCCCCACAAAAATTCCATTGCTAGAGTTTCACTTTTCGAAACTCGAAACGTAAACAATTACACACTGTGTACATATTTGATTATTTACTGTCTTTATCATCAACACTACGTACGTTCACAAGGGAAGTGTTTCTCGAGATGGAGCTTAAGTCTTAAGTTTAGTGCTCTGATTGTTTGCTGGTCGATAGCCGTTGAAATAATAAAAAGGGAAGAGATAACAGACAGGATGGGATCAGGCCCTTTCAGACGGCGATTTCAAAATCCAGATTGCCTAAATATTATTTTGACCAAAAACATGACCCAAAAGTAAAACTCGGAATTTTTCGAGAGCCGCTGAAGGAAATGATACCCCTAAATAAATATCAAAGGGCGACAACGACTTAATGGTCGGGTTGCCAATAAGAAAGACAACCCCCTGACACCTCCCACTAATCCACCAATGAAGAACCAAAATCCAAAATCCCCTTCCGCGTCCCATGACCAAGACCCACCCCCGAAAAATCGTATATATGTAAACCCGAAGCCTGCTGCCTCACTCTCTTTTGGCAGCTCCCGAGTCCATCAGCGTATCTCTCTACCCGATTCTCCGAATTCTGAGTCTACATTATTCTTTAATATCGTTCATATTCTCAAAATAAAATCTGTGCGCGACCTGGCCGACGAATCTGACACCTATCTGAGCCCAGCCGCCTTCGACCAGCTACCGCAAACCACCATCGATCGCAATCAGTAGTAAGTCGCACGTTGTCTTTTATTTTCATTTTGTTTCGGCTCGACGACCTCCTTTCCCCCAATTAATTTTTATTTTTTTATTCTGAGGGACTTTCGCTAGTTCTAACTTCCTCATCCATCCTCTTGCGAACTAACGCCAAATATCCATTCTTCAAAATTTCGTTTTGTGTCCGCGGATTCCGTCTTAGCGTGAATCCGACACGATTCGAAGAATTCCGCTCCTCAAAATTCGTTTTGTGTCCGCGGATTCCGTCTTAGCGTGAATCCGACACGATTCGCTTCCTCTACTAAACTCTCATCCTGAAATTACCCACTCATAGATTATTAACAAACCAGAAATTCTAGCCAACCTTCCTAACTCTACTCATTTTAGTGGACTCACGGGATCCACATTCAAAGGCCAGGCGGAAGTCGCGAGCCGTAATAAAGAGAACGAGGAATCGGAGGAATCGGCGGGCGCGTTTATTAGCCGCGCAAAATTATCAAGAACAATCGGCGCAAAACGGCAACTCTTCTCCTCCCTTTTCTCCCCTCTGCGCTAGTCCCGACCGATAGCCCGAGGACCCTCCACCCTCTTCTTCCTCTCCACAAAATCCTCCCCCCCCACTTGCCCGAGCCTCAATCCCCTCTCTCCGAAACCCCGGAAATAGACGACAGGCCTCCGTCCCCCGCCTCTTCGATCTCTAGTATAGAGATCGTCGAGGAATTTGAACCCCCTCCTCTAACCCGCAATCGGCGGGTTACTCCCGAACAATTTTTTAATTTAATCCGAGAAATTCCTCCTCGCTCCCGTCCTCTCCCATCAGGGACCTTCACCATAGGCCATGAGTTTCTAGACATCCCTGAACTCCTTGACAGAGTTCACTCCAATCCTCCTGACCGATTCATCCCGGTCTATCTTCCCGGAGAGAGATATCCCAGGCTCGTCTCCATCCTGTTCCTCCAGGGCCTTTTCCCTCCCTCCTCCACTATCATTAAAGACCATTAATGAATCCCTCTCACACACAATACACACACAGTCACATCCGCGAAAAATGTAAATCGTTAACACATATAAATGCCACCTATTGATCTCTTTTAGTTAGTAAAAATTAGCCTTTAGTCTATCTTATTTCTTTTTCTCTCAAATACAATGTCAAGAAGTAAAACTACCTTCTTTTTATTTTATTAATCCTAATCTAATGTCTAGATGTAGACAAATCGTAAATATATTATGTTAAACCTATCTCTTTCTATTTTAATTTATTTCTAAAGACCTCACCCCCTTCGTTCCCCTTTGAGAGTGCACAAGGTCCGTCCCAGGGTAATAGGGATTAATTTCCTTGACCTGAAATAGGACCTGCGATCGCACCGCTCTTGAAAAGAGTCATAGTGTCCTCACGGACATTGGCCTTTTTAGAGCCTTAGAAAAGTGCGTTCGGCTCGCTTCCACGCCCCTCCGAGCGTGTTAGCGAGATATTTAAACTTGCTAGTTGCGTCATTCCATACCTCCACATTCCGAGAGGTTTTGACGTAACACCTGCATTATATCGTTTAACTTTGGTTGTACTTCTGGATATAGCTTAATCTCACCACTATCAGTTTCTGATGAGACATCCATTGTATTAAGTACTATTTTTACTAAAAACAGTAAATAGTAAATAGTAAAAATAGTAAATAGTTAATTATAATTTTAATTTTAGATTAATAGCATTTTGAGTGTGACTTGAAAAGATTTCATACGTTTGACAGTTAGTCTAATCTAAGGGCCTCAGGCGGGCCATCAGGGTGGCAAAGGGCAAGGCGTGGACGGAGTTCCTCGACTCCCTACAGGAGGATCCGTGGGGGCGCCCATACAAAATGGTTCTCAACAAGTTGAGACCATGGGCGCCCCCGCTGACGGAGCGGCTGGACGTGGGATTCGTCCGGACGGTGGTGCAGGCCCTTTTCCCCGACATTACCGGGGAGGATGAGGGGGCACCCTTCGAGTCGGGGGAAGACTCCCCCGACTGGGACGACTCCCTGGACGTCCAGCCGGAGGAGCTCCGGAAGGCCGTCAGGAAGGGCCTTAAAGGCAATACAGCCCCAGGTCCTGACGGCCTTCACAAGCGTGTCCACGCCCTGGCCATGGGCACCCTCGCGGAGGAATACGCGCACTTATTTAGCGCGTGCTTGCGAAGAGGTGTCTTCCCCCCGCGGTGGAGGAGTGCCACGTTGGTACTCCTCCCAAAGGAGGGGAAAGACGCCTCTCTCCCGTCGGCGTATAGGCCAATATGCCTTCTGGACGAGGTCGGTAAACTGTTCGAGCGAGTACTCGTAAACCGCCTCGTCCAGCACCTGTCCCAAACGGGCCCCGATATTAGCGGGGCCCAATATGGGTTCAGAGAGGGCCTGTCAACCATCGACGCTATTAAGCGTGTCC